GAAAAATCATCCAGCAAGATTAACAAATCTATTGTTGTTGAAATTTTTCTCTTGAACAAAATTGCGATGAAGATGGGTAAAAACTAATCTCTGAGGCAGATTAAATCTCCGCTTACGCGTTCACCTCACAAAGTAAGCCGCAGTTAACTATCCAAAATGGACTGAATTGACCATTTTTAAACACCAACTTTATGATGAATGATCTCAGGTGAAATATCATTTCAAATTTAAGCTCAAAACTACAATACCTTTCTGATGATAATTAAAAACTTCAGCCAGCAATCACTAAATAAAAAGTTGAAATTCATCTGGAAATAAAAACACACCGAGCACAAAAATTCAGTCACTTTTTTTGAAAGTTGAAACAATTATTGAAGTAGGCCAGATAACGTCTTAAACTCCTTCAATTAAATTTCAATGTCATTCAAATACCAAAAACATTGTGCCGCCCCGGTAGTGATGGTGCCCAGCTATCATCTGATTGCTAATTCACATCGCACTGCGCAAAAATTTACAAGGTGAGCCCTTGCAAGTAGTCAGAGCCTCATAAGCGCTAGTTTTATGCTTTCTTTCCGGGTTGACCTTCATAGACCAAAAAAGGTAATATAAGGTCTATGGACCATAAACTAAGTCTATGGAAAAATACAAAGCAGACAAATTTCATACACTTTGCTAAAATGGTGTCATCGAGTTTTCAAAGAACATTTTTCTTGTTTTGGCATAAAGTTCGGTGTATCGAACTAAAAAAAAAGTTTTTTTTTGTCAAAAAAATGCTTATCATACAGTTTCCATTTCCACAACAAAAACTTTTCCAGGTAATTCTAAAATTGCCCCAAAACTTTTTTGTTTTTTTTTTCAACCGCATATCGAATTTTATACTCAAACAAACATGATTCAAAAAAAATTTAATTATTTGTCTGCATAACGTAGTCCAGGATACATTAATATTGGATTTTTTTCTTTATTGCTCAGAAACGTTTTTCATAAACGCTAAATCTCTTCTTTTTTGTATGGCATGTTTTAGTATGCATTGACCAATGTCTGATAATTTAAAAATTCAAATTTTAAAAATCATATTAGTTGAAACTTTTTGCCAAAAATTAAAAGTTTGATACTTTCGGTTTATTTTTTGGGCAAGACAGAAGTAAGACATTTCAGGCCACTTCCAACGCATTTTTTATTCGAGACAGTCAAACCTTTGGTTACTCTACGTTTGAGTAACCAAGGTTTTTGTAACTTGTGTTCAGTTACGAACACAACCAAAAATTTTTGATATTTTTTAATGTAAAAAATCAATATTTTTGTTTATGAAAAAATACTAGTCATACAATTTTCATATATGAAAAATCACTAATCAGAGACCTTTCATGCAGCTTTCTGTGCTAATGGAACTGCATGAAAAGTGTATGACTAGCGTTTTTCCATATATGAAATTTGTATGAGTAGCATTTTTGGTCAACCTGGGTTGTCGCACTAAATAACTAATTCACCGGCTACGTCCTTGGGTTGGTTAATTAAAATACGATTATCGCCAAAACGGCCAGAATTTTTAACTTTCAGGTCAATTTTGACTCATGTTTTAAAATCAAAAAAAATTGAAGTGATGCTTCAACTCTGTTTATTTCACGGTAAAGGATCTAAATTACTTTGAGTCAGCGCGGAAGCTTCCAACTAAAAGACGTACTAAATGATGCAATTATTCAATTAAAAATCAAGACGCACTCAACGACCATAAACAAAGCAAGGATAACAATTAACAATGACTTCAATGATTTAAAAAAAAAATTGATCAAGACCGCGTGTGCGTACTCTATCATGAAAACAAGACTGAAACACTGGGTTTGGATTGGCTGAAATCATTTTAAAATTTTTTTTGAAAAAACACTACTTGATTTATCTTGAAAACATTAGAAATTTCCATATATGAAAAAATGCTAGTCATACACTCTCCATATATGAAAAAATACTAGTAGTACAATTTTCATATATGAAAAATCACTTATCAGCGACCTTTCATGCAGCTTTCTGTGCTAATGGAACTACATGAAAAGTGTATGATTAGCGTTTTTCCATTTATGAAATTTGTATGAGTAGCATTTTTGGTCAACCCGGGTTGTCGCACTAAAGAACTAATTCACCGGCTACGTCCTCGGTTTGGTTAATTAAAATACGATTATCGCCAAAACGGCCAGAATTTTTAACTTTCAGGTCAATTTTGACTCATGTTTCAAAATCAAAAAAAAATTGAAGTGATGCTTCAACTCTGTTTATTTCACGGTAAAGGATCTAAATTACTTTGAGTCAGCGCGAAAGCTTCCAACTAAAAGACGTACTAAATGATGCAATTATTCAATTAAAAATCAAGACGCACTCAACGACCATAAACAAAGCAAGGATAACAATTAACAATGACTTCAATGATTTAAAAAAAAACTGATCAAGACCGCGTGTGCGTACTCTGTCATGAAAACAAGACTGAAACACTGGGTTTGGATTGGCTGAAATCATTTTAAAATATTTTTTGAAAAAACACCACTTGGTTTATCTTGAAAACATTAGAAATTGAAAATAAATTTCAAATAAATTTAACTCAATTCATCCCCTGAATTCATCGGATCGATTTGAGGGTCTAAAAATTGCGTTTTGATGGACTTTTGTAGCTACTTAAGACTTTTGAATAATAAGAATCTCAATAAATTTTTGGGGCTATAAAAAGATCAACTTTGTAGTCTCAAGCAAATTTCAAGTTAACTTTTTTGCTCCAGAATTTGAGCAAAAACTTGTAATTAGAAAACTATCCGCAGTGTAACAGTGTTCTACAGTACTTCAGGAATATTGAGAGTTCCTTAAAATTTCTGCAACCTGAAGATTCCCGTGATAATACAAATAATTAATTGAATTTTCTTAAAATAATTTTCTTAAGATGAACATTTTTGACGCAATTTTGTAGAGCGAAAAGAAAAAAATTGATAATAACCATTCGGAACATTTAATAATGCTGCAAAAAAACTTGCATGTTAATTGATCTTTGATTTTCTATTCAGCTCAAGCATGAGCTCAAAAATAAGTCTGAAAAAAAACAAATTAAAACTATTATGATAAAAGGTGGATTGAAATAAATCTAAATCAATCTAAGATCTCCTAAAAGCAAAACTATATGAATAAAAAAGAAGGATTCAAATCGGCTTTAAAATCATCCGAAAACATTTTTTTTCTGGTTTCGATATTGAATCAGTTTAAATCAATTTTTGAATCGATCCAAATAGACTTTTCGCAGGTTCAATGAAGCTCACTTTAACTGGCCTAAGAAACAAGCCAAATCCATTTTATTGCATCTGAATTTTTTAGGGTTCTAAAATGATTTTGTTTCATATTTGTCATTGCTGGTGCGCAAACTTTCTTTTAATTCGAATATGCTATTTCACTGAGTCAGGTAACATTTGACCAATGTTTATAGTTTCGTTTTCTCTAGTCGTAACATACGTTTGCTGTGAGAGCTCAGTAGGATTCGTTCTCACCATCTTCACTCAATTTAGAACTACTCCCATAACAATCCTTATTGCCAAAGTACGTTATAGGTTAGTCAACTGCTGACTTTAAAATCATAGAAAACCTTACAAAACTCTTATCACTTCCCTTTTGGAAACTGTTTAACTGGAAAAGGAACTGAAACTTCCTTAACAGCGAGTTCGCTACGCGAAAAAAATCTGAAAGAACATTCAGTTATCTTTTCGAGAGACAAATTGAGCACTGCGCAAAATATATCTCTTTATAGTTGCTTATAGGGTGTTTATGCGTTATGAGGGATGGTTTCCGAAAAAAAAATAGTTTTAACCTCACTCAAACTTAAAAAAACTCGCAAAACAAGCATTATTGTCATAATACTTTTGTAGGATGACCTTGTCAACCGCTGACTTTAATATCACAGTGAGCCTTCCAAAACATACATCGTTTTACTCTTGTCTTGAAAACCGCTCAACCGGAATAGGATGTGAAGCTTGTGTCACAACGATTTGCAAGGCGAAAAAAAGCAGTAATAACACTGATGTTTCCGCATTGATACGAACAGTCTTTTTTGATGAGAGACTAACTCTTGTTTTTAACTTCACCCTCCTGGATCCAAAAATGGTCGGTTTGATCATCAATTCAAACAAGTTTCTATCGAGAATGCGCGGTCGCTCGCATTTGTATCTTAACGGAAGACTGTTTCATGCGACAGATTAACATATGCGAAGAGGGTCAAACTCAGAAACAGTATTGAGGCACTTAGCGTATTGGCAAGGCGTTCGCGTTGAGATCGTCATATCGTGCATTCGATCTCCTGCCAAGACAATGATAGAATGTGAACAGGAGCTCTCATTTGATTTCTAATTTAGTTCTACCGCTGTCCGACCAATTTCGACTGCAATAAAGGTAGCACGTGAAAGTTGTAGACAAAAAACGGCCTTGAGGCGCAGAAAAAGAGTTTCTCCTCTGCACAATATTTTATTCTGTATTATGGTGAAATATTACAAAAGTAACTTGCTGAGACAAGTCTTTCATAGATCCTCTGCGAATCGCCCAAACCGCAATTACTATTATTAGTATTGATACTTTTGACTCTGCTTCAGGTTGTTTGAAATGGACTTGTCAAAATAGGACGACGCAAAAAGTGACTGGACGAAGGTTTCATGTGGGAAATTTTAAGTCAACGGGAAATTCTCAAGCGCAAAAACTGGACAATTTTGGCAAACCAAATTTTGCATCAAAAAATTTCTGCCAAAAATTTCTTGACAATTTCGGTCAGCTTCGTAAAAATATTTGTTGCCATAAAATTAGTTTATATTGGCGCTAAAGGCAACTTCTAAAAATGTATTGAAATGTTAAACGGTGTCAAATGGAGACCGTATAGCTGGTGAGGTTGTCAAATCTCCGCCGACACTCCCTTCATAAAACCGCTACTGGTTTAATAAACTTCAGGAAACAAATCTTCAAAAAATTGATATTAAAATCTGCCTCAATTTACAATCTGACATTTGAATTTGAATATTTCTTACAATAACATGAATTTTTCAAGCACAATTTTGAACCCGCAAAAGATAAATTTATAAAACTGCGTTTTTAACAATTTTTCTGCTCTTGGCATTACCTTTGCAATTATTGGTTAAAATTTTGCAGTTGTCATTTCTGAGTTTATGAGTTTTACAGCTCGTGTCATTTTTGATGGCTTCGTCTGTACAGACGTTGTTGTTGTTGTTTTTATCGTCGATGTTGTCACTGTTGTTGGCCTCTTTCTTTTTGAAGGATCCGCCTCCTATAGATTTGTAGATGACATAACAGGGCCTGTCACGGCCGATCTGAACAAATAGAAAATACATTTGCTGTGTGATAAATTTGAAAAAAATCCACTATTGCTATTATATGTTTTACACTGGGTCGAAACACCACTACTTACTTTTTTACTAGTTGACGCTCGACTTTTTGAGCAAATCGAAACATCAAACATTCAGCTGTAGCTAAACGTTATTTGGGTTTTGTTATCCCTCAATAATGCTGTCTCAAAAAACACAATCCGACTTTAAATATTGGTAGGCGAGCCAGTACCAATTTGAAGGGCGGGGGTGAGGTGGACTTTTTGTCTTAGTGATTCGACCCCCTGGCATCGCACAGTGTCCTCATTTTTGGCCGACCAAATCTGAAATTTTTCTTGAGTCGCCTTTTTAAAAGTTTTTATTAACTAATGTTGAGCAGGGAGTGCGCAATTTTTTATATCAAAAACCTTGTCAAAAGTCATGCTCAGCATGGCAATTTTCGGTTGTTATTTAGAGATTTGCCTCCGGCGAAGAAACATTATGCAGGAAGAGTCCTTTAGTTGCTCTGGAGAGCTCGGAAAATCAATTTGGTCGATGATCTATAAACAATTTGACAAGATTTTTTTTAAAAAAACTGAAAACCCTTTTCTCGAGAAAATTCTTAATCAGTACTTGGCAGAAACAATGAATAAAATGATGATGACAAGACCAGAAATTCTCCGAATTATTGCACAATTGGAACAAAAAAAAGCTGAACAAGCAATTCCCTTAAAATTCTATAGAAAAATTCCATAGAGTTACGAAGTTTTATGAACCGCGTTTTTTAATATTCAAACAAAAACTAAGAAAACATTTAGAATAAATTTTCACAAAACAATATTTTTGTCATCATTACGCCATTAATTTTAATGCCATTTTTGCATTTTTGAAAAAAAATTAATTCTCATTTTAGTCGCGAAACCAATTCTAAACTGAATTGAAGGTTTTCCAAAAAATTTTCTTGTTTAGGCAAAAACTTCCAATAACGTGGTCCCGGCAAAACTTTTTTGCACAGAATAAACAAAAATCACACGCTTAAAGCTTTCTTGCAAGTCCATGAATAGGCCATAATTTTCACTCAATCTATTTTTTTGGAGTTGAAGGCTTTATAGACATATATATAAAAATTGATATTTTTTTTCATGGCGTACTGCAGAGAATTCAATAGTTTAACGTACTTGGTATATCTCAAAGTGAAATTTGTTCTGCTCTATGATTGCGGTATAATCTATCAGTTTCCCATTTGATACCTATTTTGGATGTTGGTTGTGTTCTACGACATAATACAAAAAATATTAAAAATATGTTTTCTCTATTGGAAAAACACTAATCATACAACTTTGCATCGGAAAAGCCGGGCATTTAAAAAAAGCTTCATTTTCAAAACAAATTTTTACTTAAACTCACCAGCAGGTTAATGGGAGGGGAGCGGACATTTTCGCCCTCAGGGATTCGACCGCCTGCCGACCCAAAGGGTCCCCCTTTGTACTATTTTGAGATATCCTTTTTTTGACTGACCCTAAATTTTTTCTAAAGGCGGCTTTGGCGCAAAATATATTAGATTGAGGGGCGAGCGCACGCCGAAAAAATGCAATTTTTTGGTCAAAATTTTACAAAAAGTGCCTAAAAACGCCTTTTTTGGCCTGTTTTTTCAAAGTTTTGCCTGTTCCACATTCCACCCCCCCCCCCTCGAGAAAAACCTAGATCCGCCCCTGCTTAAACTGAAGCAAATATAGAGCCTTAGAATTATGTCACCAGCAAAAGAATTTGAAAAGCTTTGGCGATTGCTTCTGGCATGGATCAGTGCAAACAAGTGAATCCATTTACTTCCTCATTTTTGCTAGCGAAATTAATACCGCAATTATTGAAATTATCTTAACTTCTATCTATAAGAAAAATAAATTGAACATCTTTTTTTATTAATGAAAATTGCTCTTTTTGTGAACCCGAGACATAAAAAAATTTTCAAATCAGCGGCAGTTGAATAGATGAACTAATTTTTAGTGATCCTGCTAGTTTTTAAATTTCTCGAAGTCTTCCAACTTACTATAAAGACCCTATATTTCCATAATTTCCGCGCTAATTGCAAACTTTTGATGAAAAAAAAACTAGCAAAAAATCTCATTTTTGGGAAATTTATTACCAAATGTGACGTTTTGTTGGCTCCTTTTTCACCGTCAAAATATTATGTATTGGCGCCAAAAGTGAAACTGAATATCGTTAAGTAGTACAAAAGGGCATTCTTTGAAATATGAGGGGGTCGAATCCCCGTGGAAGACATATCCCCTTCACCTCTAAATCAGCCCTTCGTTGAAACCCTACAGGTATATTTAATTGAAGTGCTAAAAACTTGAGATTATATAAAAGAAATGATTATCATGCAAGTTTTAGTATAATATCGAAAGCAGAACAAGTCGACTGACAATGAGAATTTTTTGAGGCGTTACTTCTCACAGATTTTTTGGCCATCGATTTTTGTAATATTAAAAATGAAGGCCGCGCTCCTGTGATTTAAAAAAGCTATCATAGCAATTTTTAGAAACAATAGAAAAAAATTTTAAAAGAAATCACAGACACACTTATGATAAAGTGATGAAGAAATGTAAAAAAAAAACAATGATATGAAAATTATACAAATAACCTGTGAGTTCAAAATGGCTAATGAGTTTTATTTTTTTTGCTTATTTTTACAGCAAAAATTGTACAGGGTATTTGTAAATCATTGATTAACTTACAAGGTGTTTTTTCTTGGTTAACTCATCCGATATCACAAATAAAAAGATGAAAGATATTTTTTCGTTTGTTTCAGAAGCAGTGTCAAATTATGAAGAAAAAATAGGTCAAGTCAAACTTTGAGCCTGAAAAAATTACGATAAATTTGTTTTCGGAAAAATTATCGAACACAACCTGACCCTAGATGAAACTTCTTTGTTAGGCTTCCATAAAAAGCAGAAAATTGAAAATTTTTAAAATACAGCAACGCTGGCCTTTAATATATTTTGCAGGCTAATTGAAAAGATCAATAAAAAAACTGCAGTAAGCTGTCTGTCCAATTGGATTCCAGTTTCAAGCTGCATCCTTTACTTTTGTAGTGTTTGAAGTAAATCAAAGATACAAAATATTACAGAAATTGCTCACAAAAATTGAATAAAATTTAAGCAATTTTTTTTCAAAAAAAACCTGTCAAGACAAAAAAAGCCAATAATAATTGTTTCTCAAAATTTAAATTGAAAATAGACTTGGTCAAAATAGTAGAAAAACTTCCATTTTTTCAAATTTGGTCAAGAAAATAAATTTCAGTTCGTGTTTCAATCACCCCCTGTGGGTGAGAAAGAATTTTGGCCCAGGGTGTTTTTTTTCTACGCAAAACCAGGTGATCAAGCGCAATCGTACTTCAAAGCACGGACCTGTGGCATCGTGTACTGATTTAAGAGAAGAGAGCCGTTGTCTGGTTAGTACTTGCAACTAATTTTACACGATGTTAATCTTCAACCCAATTTCGCCAAAGGTGAACAGTAATCCCCTCATTTAACATAAAAAGTTGGACCAAAAGTTGCCCAATACCTTGTTTTCTGTAACTTGCGCGTTTTTTATAAATTTTGCAGTTTTAATCGTTTCCTCACATATCTAGCGCGTAGTTGAAACAAAAAACCAACAATTTTACTAATTTATTTTAAAATCGCTGCAAAAACTGTGATCAGTTATTTTGTGCTACTTGCATAACAGTTTTTCTACTTCTCATTATATTTGATCAATTTTAGCTCTCTCTCGGATAAAACAGTGACAACCAGACCTCTCTTGCACTATTGAACAGACCGCAATACAGCAAACAAGGGTGCTCGTAGATCAGGACAAAGCCCTGAATGTTCCGACTGCATTTAAGGCCAGTTGAAAAAAAAATGGTTGAATAGCTGAAAAATAAGTGAGATAAAAGAAGGGATTTTTTTTCCTTTTTTCTTCATTTTAATCCCCTCAAACGCTATGTAAAATATAAGGGGTATTTAGCGCCTCGTATTGTGATAAAAGGATTAAATTGCTAGCCTCAATTCAATTTGAAACGCATTAATTTGCGTCCTGCGCGTGTTATAAGTACGCAATATATCGAACCTTAATTATCTCAAATACTTGTAACTTTACGAAAAATGGTTTATTCAAAATTGAGTTTAAGATAACAATTTCTCTCAGATGTTTTTTTTAAAGCCATCAAAAAAGTTTTGTTAACAAGTCAAAAACCAACTAGTTAAAAAAATCACACGAAGCATAGGTATTCCGCACTTTCTTCGAAAGTCGGAACAACATTATTCGAAAAACTGCCTTTATGAAATTGAATTACTGGCGTTTTCGTTAATGTATATAGGGAAACACGCAAAGCGGCAAAGTGGCAAATGCAAAATTATTTGCCTTTTAATCAAAATGAATGATAATATCAAGGGACAATTTTAGTTATGCAAAACAAGGAAAATGGCTACTCTTACATAATGAAACGAAAAGTTGAAAATTGATGTTGTTTTCTAATTGTTATTTAGAATAACAAAAAACGGGTTGCTGCACAAGTAGCAAAAAAGTTTCGACCAAATTGAAAGAAGCAAAACATTTCTAAAAATAAAGAAAGTTTTTTTTGAGAAATGGTTGTTGTAGTTTCCTGCTATAATAGAGGGCTAGGGATTTAGGTGAAAAGTGCGTAAGAAAGCGGTAAAAAACTCAAAACAGCGAGCAAACATAAATATGGAGGGTTAAGCTGTTCGTCAAATTCTTCCATGTGTCTGAAAAGAAAAACAAACTCAACATTCTCCATATTTTTTTCTTGACATCGAGAAAACATTTTGAAAACTTTTAGAATGCCAATAACAAAAATATGGTTTGAAAATTTTACCACACCCCAACCTCCTGGTAGCTTTTTACTAGGTTTTCAAAATCGGCTGAAAAAAAAAACAACTGATCCCATGCCATAAATCTTTCAGTCACGCGTTCAGTAACCTCCCGCACTGCAGTTTCACGGATAGAAG